TAGAACACAGACGGCGCATTGAGGCAAAATGCAAACCAATTCTTTTCCCAGCTATGCATGCAAGCTACACAAAATGTTTCCAGAAGTTTACCCAAACATGACATGTAAATACTGTAACATAGAAGTGGCCTCCATGCTACGGGGAAGCTGCAAACAGACTCCTCATAACCTCTCCGGGAGCGATGGAATACAACGCTCTTTCTTCTTAATATAGGCTAATCAGGTATACCACTTGCGTAAATTGATATCTTTTGATATATAAGCCTACTTTTCCATTTAACACTTTTTATCCTCCTTTATCATTTTTGCATGCAATTAGGTAAGGGAAAGAATCCTGAAATATTTATGTAGAACGATGTACTTCGCAGTATATTTTCGTTTCGGCAGGTTCGTACATTTTTGGCGTTCCTTATGTTTGTACCAAGGCGTATTGAATAAAAATGTTCAGTAAATTCGATTTTTTTTTTCTGTGTGTGTTCATGTAGCTAGAGCTAGAGTCACCTCGAAGCGAACCCCAGTCACCCCGAATGGTCTTTCGCTTCGAATTTCTGCGTATTTTTTGTATAAATAATCCGTTCATTAAAATTATACGAAATTGCGAAGTCACGTTCATACATAACAATTTGTACGCACAGTAAAGCCATATGATACGTATGCTATTCACTTCAAAAAAGAAGCAAAATGCGGCCGTTGAAAGAACACCCACACGCAATAACGCGTTCGGGAGCATCGAACGCGTTACTCGAAGGTCGTAGGTTCGATTCCTGCTCACGGCAAGTTATTTTGTCACCCACTTTTCTGTCTTTTTATTTACATTACATTGGTTCTAATAACTTGCCCCATACATTCCTTGGCATTAGTGCCTGTTAGATCTCATTAATATTGTATCAAAACGTGAAAAAACGAGCCCTTATGTATACAGTTCTTTCATATATATATATATATATAATGTGCGAGAAATAACTTCAATAGTGCCGGCAGGAAATTCAGTCGAACGAAATAAACAAGACGACAAACGTACAAAACGCAGTTTCGTTTGTTGTCTTCTTTTTTCGACTGTATATATATAATATATATATATATATATATATATATATATATATATATATATATATATATATATATATATATATATATATATATTATATATATATGCGTGTGTGTGTGTTTCGAAGACCCTGTATTAAGCGACGAAGACAGCCTCTCCAAAAAAAAAGTGAATCATGAAACATCGAGTCACACACACAAAAAAAGCATTTGTAACAGAGAGGCAAATACGTGCTTTCAGAGGACGTGTCCGCAACTTTCGGCCTGTCGCCACAAAATTGCTTCAAAATGTACGACAGCAACAATCTTGAAAGCCGCTTCGCAGCAGCGAAGCATCTAAAAGCTGTACGAGCGCGAACATGCATTCGCACGACCGGGGCAGAAGCTGCAGCGAGACGAAAGAGGAGCCAACAATGGAAACGAGGCCCTTTCCAGTTCACTCCTTCTTTTCACTCACTTTGTTCATTACCAAAATCTTCTGCCGTCAGCAGACAAAAATAAAAAAGCGATAAAGCGGGGGGGGGGGGGGGGGGAAGGGAGGGGGGCAACGACTCCAAGTATACCGATCTTCCTGCTTTCTTTTTTTTTTTTTCCCAACCACCACATGCAGCCAGCCACCGAGCGAGCAGGCCAGCATCATCTGCACGGGCGTCATTTCACTGAGATCATTGCTCGTGGCAGACAATAGCAGCGGGTTTCGCGTATCGCTAGGCGCAACAACACCCTTGCTGGCCGAACAGCGATAAAGAAAGAACAAAAAAGGCGTTCATTTCGGTTTACGGTACTTTGCCATCACGAGCGCAGCAGTAGACCTAGATAAGCACCGTTATCGGCTGTTCGTGGTAATAATTTATGACTTCTGTTCTCGGTGCGCCCGTACAGGTTGCTCGGCGGGGAAGTTCCGGTACGGAGAACGCCCCCTTGAAGGTGAATATGGCGACAATGTTCATACGTATTTCGTAGAGCAACGAAATAAAACACTTTAGTGCTCAAAGCTATGCAGCAAGTTCTATCCTGCTGCTTGAACCATTTGTGGTCAGGGAAAACGCGCTGCCGAAACATTGCACGCCAGCGTGCACCTTGCAGCCTGACAGAGCGGACTTCGTGCCCGAAACAGTACACGCTCATGCTACCGGGTACCAAGAAATGCCACAGCCACCTCACTCCGTGAACAGTGAAGACACTCACACCGATATTTACATATCCTGACACGCGTGCGAACTAAAGTATACCTGTGTCGTGTGCCAAATCTGCATACGCTCAAGAAACGCACCGGGATGGTTCCAACACACACACACACACACACACACACACACACACACACACACACACACACACACACACACACACACACACACACACACACACACACACACACACACACACACACACACACACACACAGAGTGAGAGAGAGAGAGAGACTTACAATGCTTGCATAATAACGACCAAACAACAAAAACAATGTTGGGACTGCGAGCGGACGACATAAGTCCACCCGCACCAACGGTCTCTCAAGCAGCAAAATTGCGTCGCTCGATGCCATGCTGAGAGGCGCCTCTGAGCAGCACCACACCCGCGTGGCGCTCTCCGTCCGTTAAATAGGTGTCCTTGAAGCGCACTTATTTCCCCGGCTCGCATGGCCGGCGGCATCGTCTTCGTGCCGACGGGGGGCCGTCCCTTCGGTCCGCAAGCCCTCTGCGGGGCTTGCCGGCCTTGACAGGCGCGGGGGAGGGCTGATCGTTCCGTGAGAAAGGCGCACGGCGGAAACGCTACCTGAGAACCGGGATTCGCTCGCAGGATTTCAAGCTGGACGGTTGTGCCCTCGCGATCTCCGACTTCAGCGTAGCTCCCGCCGACTGGTTCGCCCTCCGCGGTCTCCTGACGCCGTGTAGCTCTCGCATTGTGGCACCCCGCCCTTGGACTGCTTCGACCGGATCCCCACTTTCCTATCTCCTTCTTTTTCCTCTCGTTGGCTGTCTTCTTCTGCTTCTACTTTCCTTCTATCCTTTTTATCCCTCCTTCACCCCACCCCTATAAGGCACTGCGCCGTGTCGCCTGAAGGCAGACAGAAATTAGGTGCCTTTTTCCTCTTCATTGTAACCACTACCACCACCTGAGAACCCGTTCCTGCCATACCGTCACGGAGGCGAACCACAGGGAGAAGAGAACGGGTGCGCGGAGGGGCCCCTACTCAGCCTCAAACACGTTGATCGTGCATTTCGGTACACAAAAGGTATTTCTTGGTGGAGGACCAAAACGTTCGGCTAGTTGGGTTTCGCAGAACTGCTAAATGCATCCATCCTTGCTTTCCTAATGCGCGCCTGTTTTACACTGATTCATTTAAACAAATACAAATTACTCTACTGGTAACTGCATAGGGCATACGTGTCTCAGCACAAAGCGATTTCGAAAAGTGATGTAAACAAATTATGCGTGAACACGACGAGTCACTCCATTTTATTTTTATTATACACAACTGTATCCGCCCCATGTGTACCCATTCGAACGATCTTCAGAAAACGAACCATCGTTTAGTCTCTTAGTACGTTCAAGTTTCCGTTCTATGCAACCTGGTTTCCACAGAACTACGGGCAGCATGGCAATGTAGATCCAGTCTGTTAAAGACCGCTATGCTTAGATTTGGGTGCAGGAACCCCAGGTGGTCGAAATTGCCTGACGCCACTAAGGCGCCTCTCGTAATTATAGCTTAGTTTTGTGACGTACAACCGCAGGAACGATTATAATTGTAGTGTATTTAAACCTGGCGCCATATTAAAAGGAAAACCTGGGCAGGTTGGTACATATATATATATATATATATATATATATATATATATATATATATATATATATATATGTATATATATATATATACACATCACCTCGAAATCGGCTTAGTAATAGGGGAAACTGGGCTGATTAGTTTTGACTGCACGTTATAGTGGCAAAAACTTGAAAAAACAGAAGATACAGTGCCATAGGCGTAGCCAGAAATGGGGGGGGGATACATAAAAAATACACATTTTGTAAGCACGTATACAGGCACACATACACACACCCGAACATGCACGAAGCGGCGACCCCCCCCCCCCCCCCCCCCCCCTCGAAATAAATTTCTAGCCACGTCCCTGAGATGCACCCTCGCAAGCGCTAGTCTTTTGCGTATTTCCCCGTGTATCTGTTGCCGCTGGTATCAAGCCGATATTGACGGCACTAGTAGGTCCGCACCGAGCTCACTGACGCAAAGAACTACGTGCAACGCGGTTATGTATAAAGGGCGTTCACTTAACGTGAACGGAGGTAGTGCTGCCTGCTAAAATACACATGCACACAACGCACAAGAGCACATGCACACAGCCTCAGAGGTCACGAGGGCTTTCCCGCAATGCACCTTGACGCGCTCCGCGGCACGCCCACTTTGGGACGAATAAGTACTGCGCTGGAACCGTAACAATGGAGCTTGCAACATTTTGTGAGGCGTGGCGAAAATTACAGTCACTCCAGCCACAGCGTACGAAAGGTCAGCTGATGAACGCGTGCATCGATCCTGCGTAAAACCTCTCCAGCTGCACGCCTCTCAGAAAATGGGGATACGAGCACTGAACTAGCTAACCCTGCAGGTAAGCGAAAGCCACACCACGGTTTTACACTTGCCCGAAACTCACGTACACTTTTATCGTCATCACTCTTATCGCGTAGCCAAGACGGGATTTACTACCGCCGTTTCGGACGAAACTGGCGAACGACTGAAAGAGCCCGTACGACAACCAACAGGGAAGAACACAGGGGCAAGTTTACAACGCGCGGAATTCTGCTCGAGATTACGACTGAGCAATGCGAGCTCAGTGACCTGAAAAAAATGGAGTGTAGCTTTTGATGCCCGTACCAGGAACGAATGCATCAGTTTGAATCAAGAAAGGATATCAGTACGGAGAACAGCCGCACACTCACCGAGCTACTCTTGGGCACGTCGAGCCGGTTCAGCCTCCGATCAGACCGCCCATCACGGGGGTCACTCACACCACAGCACGTCTAGGCTACGACGCGGCTTGGGCCGGCTCTACCGAGGCCGCTGTTCCGCAAGAGCGCATAGACCGCTTGTGTCGGACGAGAACTAGCAGAGCGCGCATGCAGGTCCGGTCGATCAACAAACGCCGCCGCCGCTATTGGCGCGGGTTCGTTTTCCGTGCGACGTCCCTTTCCGAGTGAGTGAATTCCGGGATGCGTAAGAGACGATGGCCCTTCACTGTGACGTATACTACCAGCACGCCGCTGTTCCTACGGCTGTTCGCTGCATTTCGACAGGAGACTTGTACGACGCATCATTGCGACGGCGGCCGATCGTAGCGCGGCACCAACCACCACGAACCCTCCCGCGCGCGATCGCCAACGCACGCAGGCTTCCTCCTCACCCGCTCGATCATCTGCCAGCCAGCCTGTTTTGTTCGTCTTTCGCTTTTCGCTCGGTGGGAAACGCGTACACGCGGCAGACTTCTTCCAAGATACACCAGCTCCATCTCTCGGCTACTTGCACAAACATGCACGACAGCGCCAAGTTCGAATACACGAAAATCTATTTCACAATGCCTTCCAAACAGAGCATGTTAATCATAGCTCAGAAATCACAAAACTTTCACATCAAGGTATATGCCAAGTCAGCGAGATTTCTCTCTTTTTTTAATGATAATGCCAGAGATGTTGGCGCACAAATAAATCTCCGGCTACTCCTTAGGCAACTTTCTCACCGTGGCCAGAGAATAAGCCTAACAACGTTCTCGCGGTAGCACCAGGACAAAAAAAAAGTTAGACAAACGTGCTCACAGTTAAATAAGAACATAAATGACGCGTTGCATATAAAACAGACAATTTAAGCGAAAGAAGCATAATCTAAAATAAAGAATAGTATAGTTTGGAGATATCGCCGTCATTAAATAATTTCAGCGATCTGAAGGTACGTTCGCCACCCTATAAAATGTCATTGTTGCTTTTTTTAAAAACAAGGAAGAAGCAAATTTATATTTTTGATATTTTGAAACAGTACAGGCATTAATAATTGTGGTGCAGACAATAAAACGTCTATACCGGTTGTCATCACAAGTTGCGGTCTTTTATAACTGCCACCCCGCCGCGGTGGTCTAGTAGCTAAGGTACTCGGATGCTGACCCGCAGGTCACGGGATCGAATCCCGGCTGCGGCGGCTGCATTTCCGATGGAGGCGAAAACGCTGCTGGACCGTGTGGTCATATTTGGGTGCACGTTAAATAAGCCCAGGTGGTCGAAAGTTCCGGAACCCTCCACTACAGCGTCTCTCATAATCAAATGGTGGTTTTGAGCAATAAACCCCACATATCAATCAATTTTCATAACTGTCCAAATAACATGCTTGAAAACTCAGCTAAAACAGATGCTGGAGTGAACAGGTTCCGACTAAATTTGTCACACAACCCGATGAAAGATTGCACAGCGCTGCAATGTCACAATGGTATTTTCAGCCCCGTAGCAGCGCTCCAGGTCATGCAAAGCGATGAAGCAATAAAACAGTTGTGATTTTAATGCTGTGTCTGCGTTGCCCTGGAGGTTTTGTCCTTTTGCGCCGTTAGAATCTTACTTTAGTTGGAAAGCATAATTCTGTTTTTCCTTGAAACCTGACGTCCAGGAGTTTTTCGTTGCGGAAGAAGCTCGTAACATTTTTCTAAACGAATATTTTTAACTTCCCAAGCTTATTTCATAGACACTGAGCTGTGCAATGAACTAGGATAAATGATATGTGTGAATATGTTTTGTCCGTCCGTCCGTCCGTCCGTCCGTCCGTCCGTCCTATCTATCTATCTATCTATCTATCTATCTATCTATCTATCTATCTATCTATCTATCTATCTATCTATCTATCTATCTATCTATCTATCTATCTATCTATCTATCTATCTATCTATCTATCTATCTATCTATCTATCTATCTATCTATCTATCTATCTATCTATCTATCTATCTATCTATCTATCTATCTATCTATCTATCTATCTATCTATCTATCTATCTATCTATCTATCTATCTATCTATCTATCTATCTATCTATCTATCTATCTATCTATCTATCTATCTATCTATCTATCTATCTATCTATCTATCTATCTATCTATCTATCTATCTATCTATCTATCTATCTATCTGCCCGCCCGCCCGCCCGCCCGCCTGCCCGCCTGCCCGCCTGCCCGCCTGCCTGCCTGCCTGCCTGCCTGCCTGCCTGTCTGTCTGTCTGTCTGTCTGTCTGTCTGTCTGTCTGTCTGTCTGTCTGTCTGTCTATCTATCTATCTATCTATCTATCTATCTGAAGGTGGCGATACCCTAAAGAATGAGAAGGAGAAAAATTGGCAATACGAACGCCGTATTAGGTATTTAGTAAATGCAATGCATCTAATTCTCATCTCGACTATAACTAGGGTATCTTCATCAGTATGGATCCTGTACTGTTTCCGCCACCGTTTTTCTTAAACGCGCAGGCCTCTATTCCAACTAGCCCAACTTTCAGCACTCACTGTTCCATAGTCTATTATTTTTTATTATTGATTTCAAAGGCACTGAGACCATGCAGCCCCTATAACAAAAAAAAAATCAGGGCTGAAGCAAATCGAAGGTCATGGTATTTCACAAGTCGTGAGATGCGGCACCAGTCGGGCAGCTCCGTTGACTTGCTGAGAGGTGGCGCGACGCGCAATTATGTTGCGTTAGCATGCACTTTCTTCCCGATACCGCTGGTCAGACGCACCTCAACCCGGTCGTCATGAATAAAATTAATCCGGAACGTGGGGTTTCGAACTATTGTTGTAAGTCTGAAGGCTTGCTCGATTTTGACCACATGCAGGCTGGCGCTGCTCGGCATTGGCCGGTGCGGCTTCTCATGGTGAACAGTGGTGGCAGCGAATCCTGCACAGCGACGCACTTGCGGACCAACTCAGGGCTGTCCAGAGGGCCTGTGTGGCGGCAGAAGGGTTTGGCCTCTCTGTCCCGACGTGGGAGCAGCCAGCATCAGTCTTGGACTGATCCTCAGGACTTTAATAAAATTCTTCACATCATAGCATATAACGCCGGTGGTTGACAGTCAATCGGAGTCACATTCCGACATAGGAGAAATGTATCTCACCAAAATGTTAAAGTTGACTTCTCGCAGTATGTAACTATTTAAGTTTGTCGGTAACCATAATAGTATCGTATGCGCACAGAAAAAGAAGCCGATGAGAGCCGCTCGCACAAAATACAAGATCCCAGCATACTACATGGTCCCGTCTGCATGGAGGTGGAAAGCTATATAAGCGTAAAACTTGGACTTTGCATTCAGCAAAACTTACAAATTAAGGCAAAGGCATAGTAAGGCGGCAGGAATTACACCGTCAACGCGTGCTTATCTTACTTTGTGATGGAAATCACTGACGCTGACTGGGAGAAAAAAAAAAAACTGAACAAAGGGCGGGACAAGAGCTATTAAAAAGTGTCTACTCACTTTTCCTTGGCCTGAGTAAGGGAGCTGCTGCTTCGGAACCGTGAAGAGAGCAATGTGCCACCAGACTTGATACGGCTACCTGTTTCAACAGGTGAGAAAAGAATGGTATAAACATGATAACATGAAACTGAAACCATACCCATTTCAGAATTATGCAGCATAAACGAAAATCATCAGAAGGCGTCATGATCTCTCAGCTCAGAATTTACGCAGTGATGCAGCAGTTTCTCCCATGACCCTCCCTATGGCACCCAATCCTTGTGGAAAACTCTTACAATACTGTCGAAACTCCAGGATATATATATATATATATATATATATATATATATATATATATATATATATATATATATATATATATATATATATATATAAGAAAAGAGACACAACTTTTAGCGGTTGCCAAACGCTGACAAAGACCAGTCAACCGGTCGAAACCGTTGGAAATAAAATTAGGCAACCGTTAAGTTGTGTCTCTTCTCTTCCCAATTACGTTTGGCCCAATGGAAAAACGTCTATATATATATATATATATATAGATGAAATAGATGATCAGAGTTTCTTCCGGCTACCGTAATAAAAGTTATAAACTTCGAGAATAGTGCAGTATAGGAAACAAAACAATAAAATATTTATTTAATCCTAACAGTTTCGGCTGGTGGACCAGCCTTCTTCGGAGGATGTAAGTGAAATGATACAAGTTCCCGTAGCAGAGGGTCACCCTCACAGTTTAAAGACCCTCCAAAAAAAAAAAAAGAGAGAGAGAGAAAAAGACAAGCGGGCGAACGAGGTAGCAACAGACAACAAGAAGCAGAAGAAGGAGAGGAACTAGAAAGGAGCGACGGAGAGCCGCCGGAAACGAGCGGGTAATTCTGGCATTGTTGCTGCGTATAGGTAAGACGCGCCGCCAGCGGAGGCGACCAAGAAAAACGGAAAAATGTGGAACATGTTGCCGCTTTACTCGCATCCCACACATGGATCGAGTTTAAGTTCACGTGGTTCGGCGGCTGGCCCGTGGCATCGGGCCACACACACACACACACACACACACACACACAAGAAGCATACGACCCGCTCCAGCTTTCGGAATATAATGGCCACGTTGGAAAGCTAATGTGCCCTCTCCCCCTCCCTCCACCTGCCCTCTCTTGCAGAAAAATGTACAACCAGTCATACTGAAAATAAATAAATGGGTATTCTTGTAAATGATGAAAATATATAAAAATAAATAATACTAAAAAGTACTCAGAAATGAAAATAAAGTTTAATAATACTAACACACTCCGTTCGGTTTACGTAGCATCGAATTCGTTTAGTTTCGCTATATTGACTAACATGAGTGTGCGACTTCACGTATGTATAAATAAATTAATTGAGTAATTCAATTTATGTGTTTCACGAAACGTCGCGGAGACACGTCAGTCGCCCAGGGCTCTCGTTGATTCCGTGGGTAAGTGATCTGAATTTCTTTATAAAGTATGACTCCCGCTGTTCGCGCTCCCGTGTGTTCTGGAAGCCGGATTGTAGGAGTATGACACTTACGCGTTCGAAAGAGTGACCAGGAAGATTGATATGTTTGGAGAACGGCAAATTGGGGAGGCCCTTTACGTGTGCCCTGTGGTTGTTGAAACGCAAACGGAACGCGGTTTCCGTGTGTCCAATATATTCCTGTTTGCACACCTCGCAGCGAATTTTGTATACCACATTGGCTGAGTCACAGTTAAGGTCGTCTTTAATTTTGTACACATAGTCTGAACAGGAGGCTTCGGCCGTATCTGTGGTCACCATGTGTGTGCACACCCTGCAGCGAGGTTTCCCGCACGGTCTACAGCCCTGATGGTGGTCGGATTTGTGTGTTTTCGCCCTGACCAGTAAGTCTCTC